TTAGTCAAAGTATTTATAAAAAGTATTGCCCCTTAAATAATTTCCAACCCATTTATAAAATAATTATATTTGTGTATGAGTTTTGAAAATGAGATTACAAATGTTGTAATATGGCTAATATTGGCTAGGATGCTACATACTGCTATAAACAATAACACAATAAAACATTATTAATGTTTGTATGCAATCGATACGAAGGCGGGTGTTTGGCCTAAAGGGACGTTCGAATAGGACTTCCATCGCTGGCATCCAAGTCGAAATGCATGTCATTGAGGCACATATAGGCTAGACAAAACTGTTCTGGTTCCATGGGCGGCATAAACATCACGGCCCGCCATAGCCCCGGATATTTGTCCGAAAACCTCTGAAAATCTTGGATCTAATCGTATACAAGCCATTAATCACCTTGCTCTGTAAAATGGAGTGGGATAGAGATGTGTATCAGGTTGTAAAATAGTTTACCGGAGTGATCGATACCTCTTGATTATCGGATCAGTGCCTCATCAACCTCCCCAGCCCTTAGCCTGTGGTGGCGGAAAGGGTATCCAGTGTCGAGCCGGGGGAGGGTGGTTGGCCACCAGCCACGCAAGCACATCCCTCACATCGCTCGCATATGTCACGCCCCTTTTTTACCAACATTTTGCATTCCTTATATAATACACACATTATCTCCCGATAAACAGGGTACTACCCCTGAAAATATCAATAGGATTAGATAGCCCAGTTAATTGTAGTTTAAAATTTACAAAAGTTAATACAGAAATTAGAATAAAGATAGGATTTTATTGACTTAATTAGTGTTAGTATTAGAATTGCGATTATTATTATTATTATTGGAAACTTTTTATGATAATTTTAGTTTCTTTTGTTTAAATGACTTATTTTCAGAAATCAGATTTTCGACCAGTTTTTCGAGATTATGGATACGGGAGTCGATGGACAGGTCTTTTACGACACTTTCATCTAATTCATGATTTTGTTGTGAAGGCATTGGCTGTGAATTGAATTTATTAGCATTTGTATTGTCAGTATTATTAGTATTGGTAGAACTAATGGTGGGAGTATTTGTGTTCACATCATTACTATCAATGCACTCGACCACACATTTTACGAGATCATCGATCCAGGTGTCGACAGTCTTGAGGTCTATTGGTCGGGATCTCTTCTGGAGTTCACTTTTATAATACAATTGTTTTTCTAATAATTTAGTTAAAAAATCACTTTTAATTTTTATAAACTCAGCCATGTTGGCACATTCATTAGCCATATGATATTCATTTTCGAGTTGGCGTTTCCTATGAACGCGCATTTCAGACAATTGAACATCAGGGTCCATATCGATAGCACAGGTAGGTTGGGTGTTCGGTTTTAATGTTAAAGTTGAGCCACGTGATTCAATATAATCAGTCAATTCAGGTATTTCGTTTATAAGTGCAGGCGCTGTTTGACTCAAACATAGCTCTGAATTGTTTGTATAGTTTGTTGAATTGGTTTTCATTAATAAGTATTTATAGAAGAAATTGAAATCAAATTCCTGTGAATCCATGGATTGAATGTGTGTTTGAAATGTGGAAATCATTTCATTGGTTATCCGGATATTGTGCGCGAATATATCATACAATTCATTCAATACACTTGATGCCAAATTCACATTTATATTTTTATAGTCGGGATCATTTAGAAATTCTAAGTTTATTAATTTTAATTCTCATTAGTGCCGGAATTGCCCTTTAGATATATATATTTAATAAAGTTTAAAATTATAGATAATATTTTTAAAATAATACTCACTTGTTATGCATTGATTCAAATGATTGAATCATAATATTTCGACTATATTCATAATATTTATTGTGTTGATACGAGGTTAAATTTCTTACACATGTATATCCTATATTGATCCTGATACATGTGTTGTATTTCAAATTAGTATCAATAAATAAATTATCATCAGTTAATACGTAATGAATCTCCAATTCCTCCAATTGATGCAAATCGTGAAAGCATTGTAAGAGTTCTCGCATTAATTCACACGATATGTAGAAATCAATGCAAATCATGTCAACGGAGGTCTGGGTTTTGAAAATTGCATTTTTTCTATGAATAATATCTCCGAGAGTTTGTAATATGAGTTTCGTTTGAATGTTAAGACATCTATTTTCTATCCACGAGTTGTAGCATTCAATCGTAAAATTGGACATAATTTCGTACGGCTTTTGTAATTTAATTATTAATTTATTTAAATATTCTACATCTCCTATATAAAAATGAAAATTAATTCAAAACTTTGTAATAAATATTATTTAGACAATTCTAAAAATTTTCTAAATATAAAGGTCAATGCTATTTGTATTTATTATATAATTAGATTTAACACTAATAAATAATTGAATCATATTACTACAAACAAAATTAAATTTCAATAACTTTACTTGGTATATATTCCTTATATAAACTATATAATTGGTTTGATGTCTTATGTTGTACTGTCATTGATACATTACTTTCCTTTTTAATAATATTAAACTTGGACAATTTTATTGTTTCATTTGGATCTAGATGTAGAAATAATTTCAATTTATTTTATGTTTATCATCATTAAAATAACAAACTTTCATTTATATTTTCGGATTTATATTTTTTTATTATACAGTATGGTTTGCTTTTAATAAATATTTTCCATAAGCTATCGTTTTCAATATTAATATTATTTTCAAATAATTTCCATTCGTTTTCATCAATAAGCGGTTTAATTGTCATAAATGTCTGCAATTGCGATAAAATGTGCGAACATTCGGGTCTTTTTGTCCAATCTGTTGATCCGTTTTTGCTGTACTCATTGACAGCCATTGACACCAATAATGCATTCATTTTAGCCATCAAATCATTATCCAATTTATTATTATATTTTTTAATTAAATCAATCCTGAAAATATTGGCATTGAAATACTTTGTATTACCATTTTTAAATAATATTTAAATATAATTAATTCTATATAATTGTTTCTAAGATCTGGGTTTTTGAATTATTTGAATAATTTTTATTTAAATTAAAAGGAACAGACAGGTTACTTTTTTGTGAAATTATTTTAACAAAATTATTATATAAATATATTTGTCGATCATTAGATAGTTCTGAAAGGAATTACTATATTAGGGAATCAAGTATTTGGGAAACAGTGTCAATCTATGCATTCAATATGTAGTAATAGTAGTGACTATTCAATAGTCTAACTCATTTGTGTGGGAATCCAATCGATATAATCGCTGACACGTGTATTAATACCAGGGTTATTAGGTCGAGCACATCCCTGGCCAGTTGACACGATCCCAATGAGCACCCACCTACCATTCTCGGATTTTACCATCAACGGCCCGCCTGAGTCTCCCTGACAACTATTCTTACCGCCAGCCCTATCACCGGCGCATATCATACTTGATATCACGTCAAACTCCTCCAGACTCTCATCGCAGGCACTGTTATTCCACACCTGGACGTCCACCCCCATCAGCACAGGGCTACTATTCCCGCCCTCTTTCGTATCACCCCAACCGGTCAACATACCCACCCGACCCGCGTAGTCGTCGGCACTGTTACCCGGGGGCAGACATATGGGGTGTAGGCGTCGGCTAAACTCAACCCTATTTTCCAGTTTAATAACCGCTATATCGAGACCTTTGGAGGCTTTGGTGTAGTTTTTGGGTATCCGTATGGACGCCACACTCAGATCCCTGGCCTCGGGTTCAGTGGATCGTAGGTCGTGAGCGCCTACCCTTATGACTATGTCGGAGGCGTTTTTAGTCCACTCCCCGTATCTCCAGAAACAATGTGCTGCTGTCAGTACGTACTGTTTATCGATTAGGGTGCCCCCACAAAACACACCCAAATTGCCTTTCAGTTTTAGTCCAACCATCCAGGGGTATGAACCGGGTGTCACCTCCCGGCCCCCTACTATACGTCTGTGACTACCGCCGCGACCGCATATCTCGGCTAATGGTTGTGTATTCCACCAATCATTAGGGTTGTCAGTAGTGGTGATGATTGGTGGTGTTGTAGTGCTATTATCTTGATTAGATGTGGCTGTAATGGTAGTAGGTTCTGTTGTGATTGTAGTATCAGGTTCAGTTGAAAAGGTGCTCGAAGCACTTGTCGATGAATTATTTAGATCAGTTATTATTAGTAAACTAGTTTGATTAATATTTGTCGTGGTGTTAACGAGTAGTTCATAAGTGACATTGGCGGTTTTAAAAGTCTTAATTTCTGAGAACTTTCATAATGTTGACCCTGCAATGGGGTTGCATTAATAAAAATTATATTAAATATAACATTAATTAATATTGAAAATACAATTAGTAAAAGATTATGCATTCTGGAAAATTATTTTTTAAATTAAAAATTATTGTTGTCATACTTTTTATATAATATAAGTTATTTAAATTATGTAACATATGGTTATTTATATTATATAACATATCTGACTTTTATGAATATATTTATATGGAGATACAGTACAGTATGTTAGGGAAAAGGATATATTTCCAAAATTACAGTATTTCCATATTAATAAATTGCATACCAATTATGAAGATACCGGCGTTGGCGACTATATAATAATAATGATTTTAAAACTATATTTTATTTTTTGAAAAATTCATTCAATGAATGAGTGGTGTTTCAAAATTAATTACATTATCGTAACAAACAGTGTGAAAATATTTACAGAATATTCTACACTACAAACAAAAACCTTTGTTTTAAATTCACTACAAATTAATGAGTGATTGTCAAAAATTCACAATTAATTCATACACGCATTGTATGGTATCGTAAACGCCATGAATAGCACATTAGTCTACGACATCGACACCAGCCTCACCGACATCGCGGTGTACATCGGCAACACTACCAGCCCCACCACCGCACCAGTGGCCAGCCCTACCCCACCGGAAGTGCAGACTACGCGAAACGTGTTGATCATATCGTTTTACAGCCTCATAGTCGTGGTCTCCCTGTGCGGTAATCTACTGGTGTGTAAGATAGCGTTCACGAAACGCAAAATGCGGACAACCACTAACATACTGATCG